GGGTAACCGGGGCTCCGGCTCGACGTGCAGGAGAAGGAACGGGGTGGTTTTTAGTCAGTAAGAGTCTGACACTCCCTCCCGCCTCTTAAAAAAAAAAATCTACGACATGACTGTTTTAAATGTTTTAAAAAATTCACATTATCGACGCTTTCTTTCAGTTACTTCAAATAGGTGTCTCAAAAAGGCCTTTGCTTGACATAGGGGCCGTTACTGATGGCGAAACTGAAATAGTACACCATGTACTATAGATATTTTGATCATCAGCTCTTGGCATGCTTTTATTATAACTATCGTGAGACATATTAAATTAACTAAAAATCACGGATTTCACGAAAATACGCGACCGCGCACGTTGCTCATAAGGAAGAGCCCCTCTGTGGTTTGAAATTAGTAGAGCTTTTCTCGGTATTTTCACGTAAGGAACCCGCGATTTTTAGTTAATTTAGCTCTTGGCATCCATGATTCTTATTAATTCTTAACAAGGATTTCAATATACATTATATGCATCCTTTAATACATATTTGGCTACCACCTTGATTAATTATCTAGTCGTACAAAATTACAAGTAGCCTCCATATAAGTCCTACAATATGATTTTACAGATCCTTCGTAGCTTTGCGTCCTGACCTCATTTTAAACTATTGTTATCATAATCAAATAGTAAAAGTATTACTCATGGCCCACGCTCTGTCAATCACAAAAATAATGTTCAATCTGTCAATATATGTTTATACAATTTATAAATAAAAATGAATTTCCTTTCGTTAAAAAACTCGAGAACGGCTGAACTGATTTGACTAATTTTGGTCTTGAAACGTTCGTGGCATTCCAGGATAGGTTTAAAGAGTGACAAAAAAATATTTGGGCGGTACGAAGTTTGCCGTGTCATAAATAAAATTATTTGCATTTGTAACTGACAAAGGGGTACCTATTAGTTTCGGTATTTGTCAGTGGGTTACCCTATTGGGTTATGAACCTACGTAGTCCTTTAGTTAGCTCTAACTCCTACATTGCGGGAAGACTAAGGGTGGGCTTTTATTAAATTTTCAGGGGACTCCAGACTTACAACTAGGTATATACTATCTAGTTGTGAGTCCGGATGCCCGTTGTATATGATAAAAGGCTCGTACCCTATAATATGGCGTCACGGAGAACCTAACGGGTAACTGGGGCTCCGGCTCGACGTGCAGAAGAAGGAACGGGGTGGTTTTAGAGTCAGTAAGAGTCTGACACTCCCTCCCGCCTCACCCAAGTGGGAGCAGTCATTTGATGATTTTCCCCCCTTAAAAAAACCCTATGATATGGCAATCGAAAAGACGATGTTTCATTTAAAATGTGATGTAATACTATGTTCCTCAAATATGTAGGTGTACGAAATTCAATTGAATATTTTTAAAGCAAAGTCGATTGATTACTAAGCATGTTGTTTAGCACAGATGTTCTAAATTCCATACTGCATTTGAATAATATGCAAGTCAATTTGAGCTTTACTGCCAGTACTAGTTTAATTATAGACCTCCAAGGTCGTTTCGAAAAGATAAATTGTCCGCAAATGTGAATAACAAAATTATTAAGGAATTTATAATATTAAAGCTATCCCTTTACAAAGGGACAGACAGAAATACTACATTAACCTTACTTATGTAGTTAAAAATATTAACACTGAAGTTAATTTGACTTTCCGTCAGTCTGTTTTTTTATAGAATCGTCGGAATAATGAGCATGTCATTTTATATCTGTTACACTTTATAGCCTAAACTGATGACCGAATTTCGAAGAGGTGCAGAGATAGGCTTTACCGGATAGAATAGGTAGACTTTGAGCAAAAGGAATCTACGATGGCAATATTTATCATACAATTATGACTGTTGGTTGGCGCGATGTCTGGCAACCGCCTGCCGCACAACGTGTAGCAGGTTATATAGATTCCCGCACGGAGCAAATCTCCACAAATTGTTGTTTTGGGTCTGGGTGTCACGTGTATGTGAACTTGTATGTTTGTAAACGCACCTGCGACACAGGATAAAATCATTATGGGGGTCACCGGTGACCGCCGTTAGCGAAAGAAGGTAACTTCAACAGTTTTCTATTGGCAGTCAAAGCTTTAAAAAAAGAAAAATTGATGTGTCATATAATTATTTAAATCTCAGCTTATTTAATCTTGATATTAGTGTTGGTACTTGCAGTACCTAATGATTAAATCAACGTCATTTACGAAATAACAAGCTTAAGGAAGACCTCAATGCTAATGTGCTCATAATTATATTTTTATTATAATTTTTTACGTTTAATGAGTTCATCGTATGATTGATATGAAATTTATTACTTACTGCCTACTTAATGATGTTATTATTAAGTAAGTAAGTTGCATTTAAGTACGACATTAAATACTAAACTACTTACGCACATTATTTTGAATACATAAGTAAAATCCTCAACGATCCTCAAACTCCTAATCCCCAAAAGGCCGGTAACAGTGCGTTACCGGCCTTTTGGGGATTTGTTGTAACGCCTCTGGTGTTCCAGGTGTTTATCAGGTGATCCGTCTGCTCGTTTACCGGCTTAAGCCATAAAAAAATAATGCTATCGCGTTCGAAAATTTATTATTGTCACAAAGTTGATTTTGATTGAGTACATATAAAAATACTTATGATTTGTAATTGCCAATTCATATTGAGCAAGTGTTATTAATGCTCAAATCTATTCCGTGTGAGAAGAGGCCTTTAGTCAGCAGTGGCCACTTATAGGCTGTTGATGACGATCATAAAAATATGGTCCTAGTTATGAAACTAGGACCGTATGACCTTCGACCTAAGACTCATGTCTTAGGTCGAAAAAAACGTTATCAGTAGAAATTTCTTTGATAGATATAATTTGCAAATACGTCTACAAAATGATATCAAACGTGCAGTTGTAGTTACATAATTTTAATAAGTACCTATTAGGTATATTAAATACACATCTGCCGACCTCTTCAGGAAGGACAAGCGTGATATTGCTACAAATAAATCAAGCAAAGTTGACCTAGAATTTATTGCAAGTTATAATTTGCGGTTCACTTTACACTAGTTAATCACCTCGATGCACTTTTGATTTAGGGGTCAACGAATTATATCATACTCGTTAATTTATGTATGAACAAATTATTTATGTCTGTAAAACTGTTCATATTTATGTTCCATTTTATTAATCAAAACAGTTTGGAATCAAATTATTATTTATGGAAAAAATATAAAGATCGTGAGAAATTACGCCCACGTAGGTAACTATACTTAGCTGGCTTTATTAATTCCGAAATTGCTGTTCAAAAAAAGTTATTCGTAATTTACTAATGTACGATAGCATTTTGGTGTAACTAAAAAATTTAAATGTGGGAGCGCCATGCTTCGGCTCGAATGGCTCGACCGGAGTGATACTACGGCCTCACAGAAAACCGACGTGAAACAACGCTTGCATTGTGTTTCGTCGTGTGAGTGAGGTTACCAGAGGCCCAATCACTCCCCCTCCCCAGTCTCCTCAATCCCTGAATCCTCCACAATTCTCAAATCCCCAATTCTTAACAGACCGGTAACGCACTTTTGACGCCAAGGTGTTTCAAGTGTCTATGGGTCAAGCAGATTGCTTACCATCAGGTGATCCGTTTGTTCGTTTACCACCTTATGCCACAAAAGTGAATCATCTTTAGTATCGTAGCAATTGGTATTCCAGTCTCTGCGTACCCATAGTTCTTTGAACATCAATTCCTGATTCATCATCATCAACCTCACAATCAGTTCGTGACAGCTCCCTGCTGGAACTGGAATAACTGAGCCTCCTCTACATAAAAGGGGTTCGGGTCTGCTATAACTATACACCTGTTCACCTCAAGATTGCAGATAAAAAGTTGCAGGTTCATCAGAGATTAATGCTGAATACCCATAAATATAATAATATTTAAAATTTCTATGTGATTACCAAACCTAATTCGTCAATCTTTTCTGAATGGATGCACGATTGTGACGGTCAGTTCACCATATGGGGAAGCAGACAAGCGTATCAGTATAGCACCAATACTTCAACATTAATGTTCACGTAACTACATAATGTAATACATAATGTGTGCCCTTGACTCCAACACATTAGAAGATGCATGTAACGAACGTAATCATTGCCGAGGGGAGCCATTTGTTATTAGCTGGTTTAGGAAGTAAAGCGAAATGTTATATAGTTTTTTGATTAGTTTAAAGCAGATTGCTTTTTTGGTTAGTCAGTCTTTTCATTGGTAATGCATGTATGTAGGTATGTGTGATTGATCATGTATCATAATAATTATGTTATGAAAGTATTACTGGGTTTTAAAAAAAATCTCAGTAGTAGCACGGAGTCTAGAATTGTGCCCGGTATATGGCAATAGGCTCACCCCCTATTACATGGGACTGATAACATAAATAGTGAAAAGTGGATGTTACATTGTCAGTAGCATAAATTGCCTTAATGTGTACCTCTGCCTACTCCTTCGGGGATAAAAGGTGTATTGTGGTTTTGTATAATTAATAGGTATGTGATTTTGTTAAGTATGGGTTAAAACGTCAATAGATATTTTGTATCTAAGGATCTACTTAGATAGACATATGCGTTGAGGTTACTTGTAACTTGGTAGGTACTTGTAACTTAGTGGTAACATTAGCACATGAGTTTGTGCAGTTAAGGAAAGAAGGAGGTTCTCATTTTGACCTGTATGTCTTTCTTTGTCCGCGATTACCCCGCAATTGGGTGAACCGTTTCTGGTATGGTTTTCAGTAAAGTATTTGTTTCATTTAGGAGCAACTTTTAATATATTAATCGACTTCAAAAAAGGAAGGGAACGAGGTTGAAGTCGGTTTCTTAAAAGGATTATAAAACCTCTTTCGTAATTGGAATTTAGTTGTGCACTCTCCTTAAACTATACCTACATAAGAGAGTTACTGTGGTTAATTTTATGTGTGTTTGTGTGTGTGTGTTGAATACAGTCTAATAGGTCACAGAAATAGTTATCATAGTATCTACCAAACCTTAAAACTTTAAACAATATGACTCATTTCATATTTCCGTATTTACCTTATATATGTATGTTTGCATACGTGTATACGTTTATATATTGTGCTAACTCATACATTATTCATAGATACATACATTCATATACGAAAATTTATTTATTTATTTATGTGGCTCCTCAGACACATAAATATATGCATACATACATATGTTTATTACATGGAAATGACAAAAGTTATGTTATTGCTATTCATATTAAGATTATTACTATTTTTGTCAGAACTTTTCTTCTTTTTGTATTTTTAATTAGTTTTAATTTATCATTAGAGTTTATGATTTAAAATAAAACAAATATGGTTGAATTTAAAAATTAAAACATTATAATGAAATAAATATTTAAATCCTAATATTATAACAGTGTTTTATTTTATTTTCCAGGTCAACGCGACAAGCCCTTCGTGTCAGACGAGGAGATGCGGCTCCGCACGCCCCGACCGGATATCCTGTCAGCACCGCCATACAATCCCTATTATGACATCTTGAGGGAGGCTGAGACTAAGGTATAAACCTGTTCCATCTATCCATTTTAAACTCTTAATGTCCACCGGTTCCGTGTGGAGATTGCTTGGACACTATGACCTATAAACTTATGACCTGTGTCTATTGGTACCAAAAACAAGTTATATTGCCTAAGAAAGGTAGCCACGTTCACGTGCGTAATCACTACATTATTCATATTAAACTTGATGGCACTTTTAAAATATGCTTCATCAAAAACTGTCTTGATTAGTGGCGTAGCTATACCATTTCCCAATAATAAATAGGTATAGAAGTACACAAGTAACCTCTGAAGAGGGGCCCCTTCCACTCCTTCCAGTGCCTGGGTATTTAGCCGACTTGAAGCGCTGGTTTGACGCCCCTTTCCTGTCTTTAATTTCCCAAAGGGTTAGGTAAGGTCTTTTATGAATTTATGGAATTTGCGGCTACCAATGAAATTGTTTATTATATTGTTGAATAGTGCCCGATATATGGCAATAGGCTCACCCTCTATTACATGGGACTCATAACATAAATAGTGAAAAGTGAGTGTTACATTGTACAGAGGCTTTAAATGCCGTATTGTGCACCTATGTCTAACCCTTCGGGGATAAAAGGCGTAATGCTATGTTGAAATTGACAATATTCTTGTCTCTTTTCTTTTAAAAATAAAATATTCTAGAAAATCTGAAAGAGATGTAAACACTATGTATTATTTACTAGATAGACATTAACTAGGGAGTTACTTACAAATGTAATCGTTTAGAGAAGTAATAAATTCATACCAGTTGATAATAAGGTCTTCCTTAATTATTTAAGGTCATGCTAATGACTTAATTTATCTTGGTTAATCCGTGCGTAAATTGAGGTAACCGCCTTCCTTCGCAGACAATTAGCTTGATAAATAATATACTTAATTAGTAATATTTTTTCCTATAGTTACGAAACTTAGTGATATCATGTTCTTACATCATCGTTTTTGTGTTAAAAACTCTATTCTCTTTCCTTGCCTTCGGGCATCCGCAATGAGGCACCTAAAGAATTTACTTAACTACCTAATTACGTTTTTTTTATTCCAGTTCCCGGTTCACCCAAGCAACAGCATCGTGGGTGTAGCTGACACCATCTCTGACATTGATAACAATGACCTGGACAGCGGCAAGCAGAATTACAGGCCTCCAAGCTCCTGGTCTACTGGAACTGGACGCAAGTTCCGGAATAAGCCAAGGGCAAACACCCTCAGCATCTCCAACAGACAGTCTGATAGCCTCGACGAAGCTGCCTCACAGGAACCTGACGCAGAGTATAGACCAACACCCAGCACTAACTTCTCACAGACGAAATCAGTACCATCTGTTACCCCGCCCTCCATCGAACTGATCCCACCTGCAGCTCCAACAAAGGAAACTAATGTAGAAGATTCCAATGTTCAACCTACTGCTGATTCCGTCTTCAAGTTCATCAAACGATTCGACCCCACATCTCCTGATGTACAACACCAAACTGCGATGTCGAAATCCGAGATATTAGACTTAAATAAACAACTGCCAGATGGACCAGCTACTTCAGAAGAAGAAAGAACTCCCAGAAAAAATAAGAACTTCGGCAACAATTTGAATACCTTCCAAACCGAAAACGACAAGTCATTCTCTGCTAGTCCGAAATTCGACTCTGTCAATGTTAAGCCTACTGTAGCTCCTCAAGAAGAAGCACCTAAAGGTGAAAATAACAATGGTATTCCAGAACCTGAGAGAGAACTCCAGCCTCCAAAGGTTGACCCTCCGACGCTTCCATCAACAACCGTAGGCCCACCGATCTACTATGAATGGAAATGGGCAGTCCCTGCCTTCGATCTGGTACCTCCAAAAGAAGACAACAGGACTAACAGTATAAATGTTCAGCAGACGAGGTCGATCCAACAGGGAAAGAGTCCGTTCAGCAGCGTGACGAGACCTGAGCCAAAGACGACGACTCCTGAACCAAGCAACACGGAGTACAACATCAGCTCTTACTTCGTTCCCGATTACGTGTTTCCTTTAGATAAGCCGCACCCAGGATACGAGAGTGATGATGCTGAGACGTCATTTCAAGTGAGGGTGGCGAGGCCTGGGAGACAGAGCTATGGGGAAAACCCCAAATGTCCTCAGTGCCACCCTGCGTACCTCAAAGAAGGAACTTGTGAACCTTGCATCGTAAAGCGGTAACAAATATAATATAGTCGTAATTTTAAGTCCGTTACATTGTCACCGAAGAAATATAGATAATAATAATCACGTTGCTTGTTCTTGTATTGTTGTTTCGTTGTCTGCAATATGGATGAAGTCTTTGTAATATTTCTATTTCTTCATACAGTTAAGTAAGTTATTAACGCTGTTATATTTTAGTTTTAAAAGCCATAATTGTATAGTAATAATCGATGCCTTGCTCGGTGATTGTGTCACATGACCTGCCCTCGAAAGCATCAAACATTTCTTCAGCGTTTAGTACTTACATAAAGTGTAAGTGAAACCTAAAATTAAATAACATTGTTGAAAAGACACCTAAGTACTGAATTAAATACGTCACTACATTAAACACCCGCTATTGCTTATGAGCCACGGAGGACTTAACGGGTTGCCGGGACTCCGGCTCGAAGTTCAGGAGTAGGAACGGTGTGCCTCGCCCCACCTGGGCGCCCCACCTGGGCGGGAAAAGACATAGAATGATTTTTCTCCCTAAAAAACCTATGTGAAATTCAATATACTTGTTTTGTTTGACTTAATAACATTTGATGTGTGGTGTTTTTAATACTTCAGAGATAACATTTAGCCAGTCAGTTTTGTTAAAACAAAATGAAAAGACGCACACAGAAAAAGAAATACTTAGGTACCTACCCATGTACAGATTTTTGTTGCTAGCTTATTTAATATGTTGATTTGCGCCGTATTTAAAAAAAACTGTATTCATTTTAACAATGTTACCTTACCAACCTACTGAATACTGAATTCTGTATAAACTAGTACATACCATGTATAAATAACATTTAATTAAGTTTAATTATAGTCTAGTTATTATTTATATTTTTATACATGTGCCTATACATACCTAAATAAGTTAGTTTCGGATTAATAAAAGTAAAATTAATTTAAATCACAATTTGGACTTATTACCCACACTCCAACCCAGAGTTAAATTAAACTCTTGTAATGAATTTAAGTACCTTATCAATTATACAGCCAAGTATCTAGTCAAAGGAGGTATTTTCGTAAAATTGTAATTGTTACAAAATACAGACAATAAACAAAGCATTTTTCTTAGTAGTAGTGTAATTATACATATGGAGGCCCGTGACAAATCCATCGAAGCGGAGGCCTAACAAAAAAGAGAGAGACCATAATAATATGAAACTACTAAATTGGAGCTCCTTCCACCTGGGGGCCTGTGGCATTTTGACAACTTGCCACACTGTAGTTAAGCCAATGATGCCCTGTTCGGCCAATTAGTGAAGACCTATAGGTATACCTTACTAATAGAAATGACGACGAAATGACTGGATGAGTGAACTTTATGTTGTAAGTCGTACTCTGTAATTACTACCTACTCCTACCTACTTCCCAAAAACAAATGCGTGAGACTGCATGTTCAGAAAACTCAACTAATAAAAATTAAGAACATCAGCTTTTTATAAAATGAATACTAACTATTTTAAGTAAAAACGCGGGTTACTCACGTGAATATACTGAGAAAAGCTCAGTGAGCTGCGCGACGTCGCCGCGACCGCGTACGCTGCTCATGAGGAAGAACCCCTCTGTGGTTCGAAACTAGTAGAGCTTTTCTCAATATATTCACGTGAGTAAGCCGCGATTTTTACTTAATTTAGTATGTCTCACGATAGTTATTGTAAAAGAATACTAACTATTATTAAATTAAATATAATAATTAAAATAAAACTAAAAAGAACTGTTTACAAAAAGCATCGAAAAATTGCTGGCTGGCACCATTGCCACGTTGTATGGCAATGCTTAATCTCTGACCGAGAAAAAGACCAGCCCTCTGGTCATGAGATGTGTCGACCAGGCGTTTCGAAATGTTTTTGAATAAATTAAACGCACTCGGACCCCACGGACCTAACGTCCCAACCACAGAACATATGCCTTCTTTATATGTTCTGTGGTCTCAACCCCAAATGGCTCAAAGATATAACTACCAGTAATGTTGTTATACTTGCGCCGCTTGAGGTTTTCTGCTGAGGCAGCAGCCGAACCAGCACAACCCGCCGTTACTGGAAGATGAGAGGGTGCAAGGGTATCGACGGAGGTTGCGTCCCACACCAAAGAAAGAACTAGAACATCTCGTACATTTAACGACATCTGTTAACAAAAAATATAACAAAAAGTCATGCGATAGATGGCGTTAGTATCGCTTGCATATTAAATATTTTATTTGAAAATTAAAAATAAAAAATGTTAATGTTTCACAACTAAAAATATAAAAATTTTAAAACAAGATAAAGTGAACAAATTCTTAATATATTAAAAGAACTCCAAATTTTCATGTGGAGTGCTCTGCGTATAACGGAGCGCAGCCGTCATGATGTTTTGTTCGCTCAAAAAATCAAATCAAGATGGCCATTCTTGTGTCAGTCGACGTGCGAGTCGCTTGATGTGCGTGTGCAAAAATTTTCAATAATAAAATCTTGTTTAACGTTTTATTTGTTATTGAGTGTCGATATAAACTATTGAACTAGAGTATTAGTGTTATAATTTAGTGCAGTTAAAACTTATGGTGTTTAATCAGTGACATTAATGCGAAGTGTGATTTACAACTTTAACCATGAGTAAAGCAAACCCGTTAGCTGGCTTGATAGCTAATTACGGGGATTCTGATGAGGAATCTGATGATGGAATGCAGGCGCCACCGTTACCACCGGAGCCTGACTCACGGAAATCTTACCCTGCACCTTTGCCAGGACATGCGTATCAAAACAGTGCTGTGAATTCTTCGGGTGCTGTGCACCCAGCTCCTATTCCACATTGCCGTAAGTTTTACCTACTTACCTTATGAAATAATGTATTTTTAATTCAAATCCTTACCTACAGTGAAGTTTTTTCGTCGTTAAAATTATATACCACATGCCAAAAAACCATGTTTATAAAAGTTAGGTGTAAACAACAGTTAGAAGTGCATTCAATGAATTGACCATTGTTTAAATATACCTATTGTATTGTTCCGAGAATTGCTCACAGTTATGAAATGAATGAGAATTATTATTGTTTGCTGCATGGTCTTTTTCTTATCTTTCTTCTAACTTTATGTGGTAAATGCTAATATGCAAAATGAATAGTTCACATACAGTAGAACTTTTATTTTAATTAAATGCTAATAGGAGAAGTATAAGGAAGTTTATTTTTAGATATCCATTTCACAAACATAATAACAACTTTTATGAGTAATGCAATAAAATTATGACACTTATAATTCTACTCTACAAATTAAAACCTCATTATTTCTTATGGACACAAGTATGAGCATCCATTTTAAGATTGTTTTTTTTTTATTATTTTTTATGGATTTATTTTTAAAAGTTCAATTGGCCTTGTTTGTTTCTTGTGAGGCTCTGTTAAGTAATAATATGCAACTATTAACTTATTATAATTAACTGTGATAAGTTTACAGAGTCAGGAGTTTGTTGTTAATAAAAGAGTTGCTATTGGCCATGATATTAAATTGATGAGTACCTAACTATTGAAACTTGAAACATGGTCAAGGAGAAATCAGTTGTTGTTGCAATCAGACTGAGTTTCTTAGATACTTTAGAAATCAGTATGTCTTATCATTCAAGAACTAAAATGCTGTTTAAAGGAGAATCTTAAATATGAAGACTAAAGTTAATTATTTATATACAGATTCATAGATAGATATAATACTGCAATTGATAAAAATAATTAACATTTCTAAAAAATATTATTACGAGTGACTAATGAGACAAATTCTAATGGCACCAAGATTTAACATACTAGATAAAATTACCTAGTTACCACAATATTATGGGAAGTGTGATGTACCTACTTCATTAATGAGGTAGGTACTTAATGATAAGATATAATTTATTATTATACTAAATAATTACTTAATCTATAGTAATTAATTTTGCATATTACTACACAGGGATTGTAAATAGTTATTTTGTCATTTAACTCATTGAGTAACGTCATTATAGACACAAAGAACAATAGGTTGCGGTCACCGGTGACCGCTCGGTGTTTGACAGTTTAATCTTCTGATGCTGATACAAACAGTTAGAAAAAAATTAACAATATTCTCTCAATTTACTCTGATTGACATCAATATGTTGTTTAACTTTATAAACCAATCCTTTGCAGCATGGTCAGCATGCTATGATGAGTCAAGTGGCTTCACATACTACTGGAACCAGCAAACCAATGCAGTGACATGGGAGGCACCTCCGGAATACCTACTGGCTTTAAAGCTGGCGCAGCAGCAACTACATGTTGCAGGTATTGTATTGTTTATTTTTAATATTCAAATAATCTTTTTTGTTTTATTATTTTTCAATGTCTTGATTTACTATATAGGTAAGGTGTGAAAATTTAATCAAATGGTTAAAATTAAAATTGCAATTTAATTCAGAATGTATCTAATATCCGTGCAAAATTAATTATAGTGATGAAATTTTAAGATTGGCTGTTGATTTAATCTATTATTTTTCTGTTAAATACTACCTTCTGTCCCTGACTTCTCATTTGCATTTAATAGTATAATTTTAGATGCGTCATGGCTGCATTAAACCTTGGTTTTATTACATAGAAAATGGAGGTCCTTTCAGAGTTAACTAGTTTTTATAGCTGTATATGATTGTGTCAGACACTTATGACGAAACAACATGTATTATGGAGAAAAATGGTCTTTAATAGTTAAAAATAAAGTAGAAATTCGCCGGATTACTATATTTAATACTAAATTTTAGGTTGTACTTAAATATCGTGCCATCTCTATCATTTTACAAGGAATGTAGTGACAGAACTATACTTAAGTACAATTTAATATTGGAGCTTCAATCTGTTAAACATAGTTTTAGCTAGTATAAATTTACATATGAAATCTTGTTTACTTTCAGGGACGACAGAAGTATCAGCGGAAGAGTGGCAGCTCTACCAACAAGCGTTGGCTGAGAAACAAAATATGCAGAACAATAAAACAGTTGCAAAGTCTTCCGTTATTAAACCTCTTAAGAAAGTTGAGAAGAACAACATTGGCGTCAAAGATACTAGCAATAAGAATAGGAAAAGAAGCCACAGTGATGATGAGGAAGAGTAAGTATTGCCTTTATTTTTTAAATTGTTTTTTTTATTTTATTTATATATATAAATTTAAAAAAAAAACCAACAATAAACATTAACAGAATCCTAATTGATTTATGTTTGGAAATCTATCAATATTTAGCAACACAGGCATGAAGTATAGCAAATTAACATTAATATTATAAATTTTGTTAAACTCACAAAGAGATTTAGCTAATAAATGTTATTCGTGTTATGTATAAAACAAATTCTAATAATCATATTGTTTTTATTTACAGAAAAATAGAACTAATAACATCATACCACAATTCGGACTCTGAATCCAATGATGAGGGTGATACTCCAACGAAGCCCGTTGTCCCAAAGACTAAAACAAATGTCCACAAGAAAGCCAAAGTGAAGCCCCTTGAATATGGTCCTGCCTTACCTCCTACCAACTACACAGTACCAATTGGTCCTGAACTCCCTCCGGAATTAATGCAAAATGGAACTAAATCGCCGAGTGAAAAGGTTGATAATGAAGTGGTAAAACAGGTATGTACAACAATGAACTTTTGTATAAATATTTATATTTGAATTATTTGTGTGATTAAATTGTACTGTATATAGAGCCTGTGATGAGAAATACTTCTGAAAATTGCTTAAGAATAGTGTTTCAAATCATTGAGAAATATTTATTTTTATCTTCTAAATTCTAATAGTCATTCTCATTATAACAACCATTTGCAATAATCTATTGTGATATCTTATCACAGAAGATGATTACACATGGTTACTGTTGGTCTGATTCAAGTACT